GACCTTTGTGGCATCATCCATGTGCTGATCATAGTCAATAATCTCTTAAGGAGTGGCAATTTCTTTTTTGATTTCTATTATTGGAGTAGTGAAAACATACTCGTTGTTCTCGTAGTGAAGCATCATCTTCAGATTCCTCATCCAGTTCATGTAGTTTGGACGGACAAGCTTGTCCTTAGGAAGGACCGATAGTAAAGTGAAGTTGTGGCTTGATGGAGGTGGAGGAGGAGGAAGTTCACCACTTGAACACATTTCTATGAAAATAAAGACATGATTTTAGTTAGTTGATTTAATCCTTGATATTTTAACCCGAATTACTAGGATCCAATATTGCAATTCAAATTAAGAAAAAGGATACCGTAACCTAATCATGAATTAATTTAAGGTTAGTAATGCATTTTACCAATTTCAATCGATATGAAATCCCTAGATCATTTGAGATTCATTGAATCTTATCAATGACATGTTTAATCTCGATTATGATATTCAATTTGTGACTGGGATGCCGAGGATCACAAACAAGATGTGAATAACCATGCAAACCTACTTGACAACCTCAATGTCACTCCATTAATTAATGATAATTTGAATTACAACTCAAACTTTAACGTGTTGGTAAATCGCTGACACTCCATTAATTAATGATAATTTTTGAGTTGTGCCGTCATTCCAACTTTATAGTCCCTAATTAGTGTGGTGGTTAACCACACACACTCTACTAACGACTCATTAAGTTTGATGTGTGTTTCCATTGATTAGCATACACTTTGACATTTTTTACTAAGGTAACTAGAGTGGGAAATTTTATAAAAGGTTCTATTACTTTAAACGTTATATTTTTAATGAGGTTATGTACTATTAAATGCGTTCTGCTAACGGCCCTCCACCACACAGGAGAGTGATGGGTAAGAATAGACACCCATTCAACGGCCATTTACAGACCGCTTCCTTATACCCTCTTTATAGCATGACTTCGTGAATGAGACATACTAGCGATTCAACTGACTCATGTTATACATATAGTATTAAACTTTTAATATATATATAAGTATAATGGTGTATTTTGAACATTTAAAATAATGTTTAGAAATTTATATCAATGATTTCAAAATTAATCAAACAATTAAATCTAACTAAATCATGAGCATCATTCAAAGATTTTAGATACTAGGAGATCAGATTACCAATTTAATTATTTAGATTTTATCCAAATAAAAATAATATCTTTAAATGTAATTATCCTAATCAAAATCTTAATTATCTCAAAAATTTCGCTAAACAGGAGGTCCCCCACGTCGTGGTAGATAAATGTCCACGTCGTGGTTGAGGACGAAAAAAAACACGAATCAGACATTGGCGATGACGTGGTAGAAGAGCCCACGGCGTGGTGACGAAACATAATGACGATTAGGTTTTTCTTCAATTGTTCAAGTTCAATTTATTCACATTCAATTGTTAGACAACCTAATGCTCTAATACTACTGATGGGTTTTACATGTAATAATCCGAAAAATACCTTAAACTCTTAAGGATACATGCAACCTAATTGGATCTATGTCATAACTCTATAACTCTATTGAAGCAACATACTATTGGGCAACACAAATTTTAAACCCTAATGTAAATCGAAATTCACAAAAGATAACATACCTCTGATTTGTTATTGTAAACAAACCCTTCTGATCAATCCAATAGTCTCTTGAAAACTAGCTTCAATTGTGTGCAAGCCTCTAATGGTTCACACCCACAACTCAAGAACCCTAGAAGATTTAGGAGAGAGGAGGCAATTTTTGGTTATGTGTGTCTGATAGCATTGGCCAAAAATTTCAATCCACAAGGCTCTATTTATAGCTGATTAAGAAACACATAGAAACGCTAATTTAAACATAAAATAATATTATTTCAAATAAGACAATTATCCAGTTCCTTAATTATCTTCATGAAGGCTTCCAGAAGGCTCCAAGAGGAGCCTCCAAACCATCCCACACTGGAGGGTTCTAGAACCTTTCCTATGCTAAACTTTTAACAATTACGTCTATAGTCCTTAAACTTTTAATTAATTCTATTTAACCCAGAATTAATTCCAAATTAATTCTAAATTAATTATAACTATTTATAATTAATATATTAGTTATATAATATATTAATAAGACATTTATCTCTCTTTAAAATCAATCTAGACAATCTATTAGTTATGAGGGCAACCCAAAAAGGATTTTACTCTTATTCATCAATATTATACCAATTTAGTTAGGACTTTAAACACCTTAATCCAACAACTTTTGACCATTTTACTTTGTAAAATATCACTTTTATCCCCTCAAATTTAAACATCGACATTTTCCACACCTGAACTTTCGTATATTAGCATGTTTGCAGCTTTTGCCCCTAGACTTTCGTATGTCGGCAAGTTTTGGTCTCCCCACAAATAACTAAAGCCATCGTTTTGTAAAAATTAACACTACCCCCAAAAACCATGCACACAAAACAAAATACTAAGCAAAACCTCGTCTGCATCCCCCACTGAACGGGGACCGGGCAATTTCTAGTTAAAGGAATAAAATGAAATAACATTGAATTATAAGGGTTAAATAGGCAAACCTAAAAGATAATTGACCACTCAATATATATTGAGTGGTCATTTTCAACTTTAATAATTTGAGGTTTTCAAATATGAAAGTCTTACATAGATGTAGCTGGTAAATGAGCGACAAGCTGTGCCGCTAACCCTTTTGGATAGCGAAACTAATTCTTTTGAAAACAACATTAATATATCTTGTGCTCATAACGTTACTATGCATCACCCCTTAGACTCTATGCAAATGCGAAAGATATAAACGTGTGTTAATTTTCCATGCAAGCTTTCTCATGTTTTGCCACTTTGCATGAGGCAACTTTTAAAGCAGCTTGCGCCACAGTAAAAACCACACTCCCAAGCCCACAAGAAGGGAAACCCCAATTAGATCCACACATACATGCTTCCCTCTTACCCACCTAAAAACTAAAGTGACAGCTGGTCCAAGTGTTGATTTTCCTTCAAATAGGTTAGACAAAAAGTTCACAGATGTCTCTTTCTTGGTAGAAACCCGACGGGCCTAAATATGTCAAAAACAACATCCCTAAACAGATATAGGTATTGTCAACTGGAAATAAAGGGACAAGTAGACAATGCTTGAGGATAGCACGATACTCTACTAGCAACATATGTTGACCAAGACCATCAATAGGAATAATCATAAGAAAATCATGAGCATGTGGTGCACGAAGATACTCAAAAACTGCTTTCTGCCTAATAGTCATGTTGAAGTGAACTTCCATGTCTTGGACAATTTTACTAAAAAATGCACTCGTCAATGCATGTTGGGCTTTAGGAGGGGTGGTGTTCTTATTAATGAAACCACTGAAGTCAAAGTCGAGGATCGTATCACGAAGATACGCCAAAGCACAAACATATCAGAATCCATACCACATATGCCTCTATCTCGTAAGATAATGGTCTTGTAACACCCACGATTGAGCTCGTGAGCCATAAAAGAATAGGAGAAAGCCTCTACCATTGAGTACAACCCTAAACCACCAAACATAATGGGTAATGAAACAAGTCATCATTAAATGTCCCCAAAGATATGACCTCCACAAGGTACAATGTCCTCAATCGAACCACGTAATCCATTTTCAAAGAACAAAACCACCTCTTCCATGTGAATGGGTTGGCACGTCATCATGCCAAAGAATAGCTTGACAATGACCATGCAAGATCAAAGTAAACGGAGCTTAATCTGGGGTCAACAGAACTGTGGAAGAAGGCACATCAAAACAACAATGTTGACAACTCTCTTCATAGCTAACACGCTAATAAAACTCGCGTCTCTACTAACAACCCCCCTCCCCCAAGAAGCTTCACCCCTAATGACGGCCGACCAATGTCAACAGGGAATAAACCCATACGAAGCTTCCTATCATCACAAGAATGCCAAAAATGGATCAGTTTTCTTAATATAGTTCAAGACCCAATCTTGGACCTGTCACCTTAATGATATCCGAAAATCTTGCCGCCTCATTAGAAAAATCAAAATAAACTCACCACTCGATTTCTATTGAGTGATGATAAGTAGTCAACAAAGTGAAAAAAGCCTATAAAAAGGTTGCAATGGAGATGAGATGCTCTAAGTATACGAAAAATGTTCTAAGTATACGAAAAATTAGATGGGAAAATGGGGTGTAACCAGTAATTGTTCTCACTCAGGCTATATGTAGAGTGACTGGTATGGTGTGTTTATAAGGTTTTCGCATAAGGATCGAATCACCTTGATTTTGAGACTAAAAGACCTTTGGTATGGTGTGTTTAGGAGTATATTAGATTTTTGTTAAAAAAAAAAAAGTTGAATTATGAGAGTTTGAAAATCTAGAAGACCTCTTGTATTTTTGTTGTTGTATCTTCTCTCTTGTACTGTTTGTGCAGAACTCAAGCTATTCTTGAATCGAAATAGAACTTGAATCGTTGACATACCACTATATGGTCTGTATTTTAAAAAAATCGGTTGACTTAATGTTCTATTATATAGTGCTCGGAGAATAAAAATAGCGGTCGAGATAGTTACCAACAAAAAATATTCCAAGGTTTTATATTTTGTAACAACGAATCGTATCTGGTATAACTTTGCGTCAATTCCTGATCATTCTGTAGCCTGTATGTTATCAGCTGGTGTAGACGCATGAAAGACCAACACACAGAAACAAGAATGTTAAAAAGTATGATAGCAGTAGGATCCACAGACATTCTTATGATCGCAGCATGCACTTGGTAAAGTACCTTGATTGTGCCTATCTCCTTCCTAATCGTCTACTTAATTAAATATGTTTGAACAGAATGAGAATCTGATACCCCATTAAAGTTATAAAAACAATGAGATATGTTGCCGTATCAGGTTCCCTATCAGGCTGCTGCCTTTTTAGGGGTTATATAAATACAACTGTATTACAATCGTTAAAGCATTCATTACTTCGAGTAGCACCATTTAGACTTTAGATTACATATTAGCTTTCTTTAGTTCATCTAACTTAGCCTGTAATTTGTTCAAATAAATGTCATCATCAACAGTAACTCAAAGTATCTGCTGCCCTAAATGTCAAGAAGCTGTTGCAGTTGATGGAGACGTACAGATACAATCAAAACCAGAAAGTGGTAAGTTTGTCAGTGTTAACAAGGGACTGCATGTTTGCATCGGAAACATGTTGCACAGACACACACACAGCAGCAGCAGCACGATTCCTAATTCTCTGAGTAGCCATGAGACGTCAACTCTTGACACAATAAGAAACTGGGAAACAATAAAAGGGAAGCGTGCACTTCTTTGTGCAGTAACTTACGATAAGCAGAAATATCAACTCAAAGGAACTAACTATGATGTGATCAAAATGCGTGAATTCCTAATGACACGGTTTATGTTTCCAAGTACCTCTATCCACATTCTTGCAGGTACATATTGCTATCCTTTCACTTTAATTGTATACATAAATGCATGATTGCTAGTAAGGAGGTGAGAAGCCATAACTAGATCTCACATAAAAGCCTGGGTGGGTATCACCTTTCTTCCTCTTGGAAATTTGTGATTTACCTCCCCCATATTGGCTGTGGGACCGGTTGGTGGGGAACCAAGGTTGGTGTATACCCAATTTACCCTTTTTAAACTGCAAATTAATGCCCTTGAAAGGGCTTGTTTTTAAGGATTTCTTTTTGTAGTTCTACCATTTTGGTTGGAACAGTACAAGTGACATTGTGAAAGAACTTGCAGAAATGGACTCACACCCTCATCCAACAAAAAGAAATATCCAAGAAGCTTTGAGGTGGCTCGTGAAGGACAACCAGCATGGTGACTCATTGGTGTTCTATTTTTCGGGTCATGGATTAAGGCAGCCTGATTTTTTTGATGATGAGGTTGATGGGTTTGATGAAACAATATGTCCTCTAGATTTTAGAACTGAAGGAATGATTATTGATAATGAAATCAATGATACCATCGTTAGACCTCTCAAGAAAGGCGTCAAACTTCATGCCATGATAGATGCTTGTCACAGTGGAACAATACTTGACCTACCACATGTCTATAGCACAAAAGAGTACGTTCCCTTAGCATTTTTTTTTTACAAATTACTCTACTCTGAAAGTGTCTCCCCATACTTGTCCTAGTGGGAAGCAGGTGTGAATCCATAAGTGAGGCCTCAAGTTCAAGTTTGGGCATCACATTCCTTCTTCTAGGGACATTCTACCTCCACATGTCTTGATATCTGAACTTTAAAGTGCATTTTTGGTTCTTTGGCAGGCATTGTTGGTCAGTTAACAAACCCCCATCTGGTGTATATAAAGGTACTAATGGTGGGCTTGCCATTTCTATCAGTGCGTGTGAAGATAATCAACTTGCTGCAGATACATCTGTGAGTAAATCTTTCTTTTTCTATGATATCTTCTATCTATTTGGGGGTTTATGTTAGTTTTTATTTTATTATTATTATTATTTTTTTTTTAATCTTTGGCTTTGATATTAAAGACCGGTGTCTTCTTTTTCCTATTAAGTACAGTCTGCATAAAGTATTGTGTGAATTAATGAGGCTAAGAAATTATTTGAGAAAGTAATGGCATACTAAGGAAAATGGAAGGAAAAATCATGGAAGATGTGACAAGTTAGGACTTTATGGGGAATTCTCATTTTCTTCACATTCTTTATCAAGGCCTTTTTGCATTTAGTGTTGTATTAGCAAAGACTTTTCTATTGAATGAACAGTTGAACGAGAATAAATGACCATTATACCTTTTTGTCTTAATGTGATGTTGAATAAAAATAATTGTTTGTTTAATCATAACATGATTAATAACTTTAATCAAATATAAATTCTGAATTTGTGCAGGCTTTCTCAGAGTCAGGAAAGCAAATGGAAGGTGCTATGACGCACACTTTTCGGAAAGCACTTTTGGATAACTCCAAAGCTACTTATGCTAGTGTCTTGAATTCAATGCATGATAAAATATTGGCAGCCAAGAAAAACAATTTCAATCTCAGTGGACTGTTTCACCGTGAAAGAGTACAGGTTAGATTCGATTATTGATTTGTATGGCCTACTGATGTCCCAATCTTTGCTTATAAATTTTAGTGATTCAACCACGGTAGTTTTCTGTTCCAAATTGAAACTTTTTGGATCTTTTACCTTCAAAAAATGTTTCTGTTATGATACCTTTATGTGGTTATTAAGATTTTATACCAACAAATTAAGATTGTTATTTTTGAAGTTGGAAAATAACTCGATTTACATTCAAAAGCTAAAATGATGATTGTGACTCGATTTGAGTAGAAAGACATTCGAATCTGCCATAAAAAAAATGCAATTTTTATTTTATTGAAGTGTTTAACTGGTAGGTAGTTCAAAATGCTATAACAAAACATAGGGAATCTATTGAATTGAAATCAAATTGTTGACTAGTAATAATGAGAAGCAATTTTGCTTTTCAAAAAAAAAAAAAAAAAAAAAAAAACTAATTTTATCTTGAACTATAAGAACATTCTTATTTTCATGAGATAGAATGTTCCTGAAAATTTAAATCAAATGTTGAAATCAACTAGGAAGTTGTAGATAGTTAAAACAATGGACTAGCTCATCTGGATGAGATTAGACAAACTTTCTAGGGCTTATTTTTTTTTTAAGATGGAGATGAGAAGTGCTTTATGTCTCTTGTACAGTCAAGAGCAAGTCCATGCCCCCACCTTGTTCCACCTTTTTAGGTGCGACAAAAATATTGCATTCTTCGTCCTATTGGCATTGGTATCTGTTCAAAATTTACCAAATGTTGTTATCTTATCTACTCTTCTCTTCTATGTAACTAAATGTTTATTGATTCTACTGTCTTAGAATGGGGTACACATTCATTGCTAAACTTTCAGGAACCTTTGCTATCATCTTCCGAAGAATTTGACTTAAATGAGGCGTTTGTCCTATAACTCCACCATACAACTAGGAGCTCCTAAGGTTAACTTGCAATAAAAACGAATGACTATCCAAGTCATGATTTCACTATCCAAAGTAACACCAACCATTTGGACAATTTTAGCTTTTTGTTTGGTTTTGATGTTTGTTTTGTGTTTATGATTTCTTTTGGTGCCACAGACATATGTTTGTTTACCTGTATGAACAGTGCACCCAATTAATGAATGAGTTTCGGTTGTTCTTTTAGAGAATAAACAAGTATAAATGAAAGAAATTTTATTATATATTAAGGATACTATTATATGTACCCCTTACTCACATAAAAAAAGTTAAACATAGGGGGAACACACTCACTCACTCACACATGAGGGTACAATAAACAATTGAGGGTATATATAGAATTAGCCTATTAAGACTATTTTTATTTTTTTTCCTTTTAAGTGTTGTGGGGACAAATGATGTTTATTTATTTATTTATTTATTTTTGAGGAAATGATTGCACACTTGGTGAAATTGGAATAAAAGAGTATGAGAACCAATTTGAAATAAAGTTACTACTCATTGGGAAAAAAAACCTTATTTTGTTGATTTTTTATTAACTTTTTCATAATGCATTAATTTTGTAAATAAGAAGAAACACTCATATATAGTTTATTGAAATAAGTTTCTTTGTGTCAAGTCTACTAAGTCAAAAGGTAACAAGCGGTTGTCTCTTTGATTATTTTCCATGTATGTATTGTTGAGTTTGGAACTTCATATATAACAAAACATTCTCTACTCACCAATGTGCATATATGATAGAAACGTGTTAGTAACTGAACTGTGAACGTGGGATATACACCCTTATGTGGACCTACGTTGACTTTTATCCATTTTATACCATAATCTATTTTTTCAATAAAAAAAACATTTACTAATTGATCATTTTATACCATAATCTATTTTTTCAATAAAAAAACATTCACTAACTGATAATTGAAGTGTTTTAGGAAGCTTCCTCAACTTGGAGCGTATTTTATGGATTCTAAAGAAAGTGGAATTCGACATTCCATTTCATGGGGTGTTTGGTTGCCAAATTCCGTAGGAATTCTTAAAGTTATATGTCAATGAATTATGCCGTTCTTAGGGAATGTGGGGGTCAATTTCATTATATACTTTTTACTAAAAGGATAAAATACCTATATTATATACATACTATAAACTAGAATGATAAAAACAAAATTTTAAATTTTAATAATTAAAAAACTATATTTAAATATAAGTAATAAATACTTTAATATCCTGTTATCAACCAACCAAACACATTCTTAGATTTAAAGCACTTTAAGAAACGATTAACAATTTGGTATATGTACAAAGTAATAATGCAAACAAAAGACAAAAAAAACATAGTGTTTAACATGGTTCACTCGATCTGAGAAATCTAGCTACATATACGGTCGAACAAGAGAAACAAGAGAGAGGGGGAGAGAGAGAGAAAGAATGAGTGAGATTTTATTGATAACAGTCGAATTACACTTTTTCTTTAGTTTAGGGTTACATGAATTCATAAGGGATTTATTTATATAAGTAAATTGACCTTAACTAATGCAAATAAGGTCGAGAGCAAAATTAAAACTGTAACGAATCTGACCCGTGAGACCGCCCATGTTGGTCTGCTTAGCTACTATGAGGTTAGAGGGAGAATCAAGCTCCACAACTCAATGCACATGGCACAAGGGCTGGTAGGTTATTATTCCATTTCAATTTCCATAACACGATTTTAATTCTTCCAAACATATTATATGAACTATAATGAAAACTAATAAATCAATTTTACATGCTTATATTCCTTGTTTTTATAAGTCTAATTGAAGTAATTTATGTTAAGAATGGACCTACTTTGATGATATTTGTATTATTGTTATTCATTGTTAAAAATAAGGAAAAATGATGTAAGACATTGAAGAAAGAAGTTTTTCTACTTAAAAAGTGGAGTTTTGTCATCCTCGGAAACATTTGTCACCGTGTTGGACGGTTTTGGCATGTACTTGGACGCTATCACTTCTACTGGCCTGGCTCTCTATAAACCCCATGATTTCGTACCAAGTACACCCCAAAAATTTCATTTCTCAATTAAAAGTTTACAATTTAATTTGGTGTACAGTGGCGAACTGGTATACAAGAAGTTATCACAAGTATAAAAGAAGTTATCACAAGGATCGTACTGGCCTCAAGTAAAGGATCGTGCCAGACGTCACATTAATGTACCTGCAAAATAAATCATCATAACAACATAAGCTTACGACTTAGTGAATAACAACTACTAAAACATAATAATATAAATTAAATAAATCATATATAACTCATTTTCTTAATAGCTGTTAATTAATATAAATTAAATAAATCATATATAACTCATTTTCTTAATAGCTTTTAATTCAAATCAATTAATGGTATTTTCATAATTAACCTCTCAGTAATAATCTATCACTAAATCAATGATTTATTTCTCAATCAATGATCTATTTCTTAATCGTGATAACTCTCTCGATTAATTATCTCTCTCTCTCTCTCTCTCTCTCTCTCATGCACCTTCAATTCTTGGTTAGATTTCTTGGTTGCAACCATGTCAAACCATCGTCTTCATTTGATCCTGTAGGAGACCGGAGAGTGGCTGAATCGGCTTCAGAGTGTGGTGGTCGGAACTCTGTTTCCCTGCCCCCGTCCTACTATGTCAAGTCCTCAGGTCCAAGTCCAACTTGCTACAAGTGGATAAAAAACCCATGATTCCATATCCAAAATCAATCAACAAAGGTTCCAGATCCAAAAAAAAAAACTCATCGACCCATCTCCTGCTTCCTTTCATCTTCACCCCTGTTTCACTCACTCCTCGTCATACACAAAACATTCACCCAAAGTTATCAAGTTGATATTGTTTCAAGCCCTAATTAACTCGTAATGAGACTCAAATTAAAGATTGAAGGTGTTGGTGGATGTGAGATTTGGGGGAACATAGTAATGATTCTTGGGAGGGATTTTCAGGGTTGTAGATGGATTTGATGGATTTTGCGGATGAAAGATGAGAGGAAGGAGCAATAGTACGCTGAAGATGAAGATTGAGAGGATTCACCATTAAATCGACGACGAAGATGGAGAGGTTTCATCTTATTCATTGCAGATTTGATTTCATCACTAAAGAATAGCAGAATTTTTGTTGACATCGAGAATCGAAGTGGGTTTTGGGGGAGAAGAAATCATTGAAGCGTTATATGTTAATGGGGGAAGAAATCATCTCATCACCATCATCAACCTTGCTTCACCATCTCACCTGCCGAGAACCTTGTCCTTGGTTTGGACGAGTTATCAAGGGTTTCAAATGCTTCGGTGGTTCTCAAATATGAAGATGTAAAACATGATGGAAAGGGAAAGGGAAAGGAGAGGATGTGAGTTGTAAGAGTCGATTGATTGGTAGTGGCGTTGGTTTAAAAGAGGAAGTGGGTTAGTGTGGTGAATTTTGGGGGAGGGTGAGACGAAGGTGATAATTCAGAGGAAAGAGAGAGAGAGAGAGAGAGAGAGAGAGAGAGAGAGAGAGAGAGAGAGAGAAATATGGTGGGCCATCTCTTTATTCATTAATTATTAAAATAGATAAATATATATTAAAATAAAAAATGAAAGAAAAATGAAAAATAAATACATGAGGGGCATTACAGTCATTTCAGTTTATCGAGGAACCAAATACGCATCGAAACTAGGTCAAAAGGACCACAAATCCAAAAAAGTCGAGGTTTGGACCAAACCTCATAAAAATGCATACCACGCAGACTATTTTTTCAATTTTGTCTTAAGATTTTATACCAACAAATTAAGATTATCAATTTTGAAGTTGGAAAATAACTCGATTTACATTCAAAAGCTAAAATAATGATTGTGACTGGATTTGAGTAGAAAGGCATTCGAATCTGCCATAAAAATGCAATTTTTACGAGACATGTAGCTTTTATTGAAGTGTTTTATGGTAGGTAGTTCAAAATGCTATAACAAAACATAGGGAATCTATTGAATTGAAATCAAGTTGTTGACTAGTAATAATGAGAAGCAAGGTTGCTTTAAAAAAAATGAGAAACAAGTAATTTTGTCTTGAACTATCAGAACGTTCTAATTTTCATGAGACAGAATGTTCCTGGAAATTTATCTCTGAATCAAATGTTGAAATCAACTAGGAAGTTGTAGATAGTTAAAACAATGGACTAGCTCATCTGGATGAGACTAGACAAACTTTCTAGGGCTATTTTTTTAAGATGGGGATGAGAAATGATTTATGTCTCTTGTACAGTCAAGAGCAAGTCCATGCCCCCACCTTGTTCCACCTTTTTGGGTGCGACAAAAATATTGCATTCTTTGTCCTATTGGCATCGGTCTCTGTTCAATATCCACCAAATGTTGTTATCTTATCTTCTCTTCTCTTCTATGTAACTCAATGTTTATCGATTCTACTGTCTTAGAATGGGGCACTCATACATTGCTAAACTTTCAGGAACCTTTGCTATCATCTTCCAAAGAATTTTACTTAAACGAGGCATTTGTCCTATAACTCCACCATACAACTAGGAGCTCCTAAGGTTAACTTGCAATAAAAATGAATGACTATCCAAGTCATTATTTCACTATCCAAGGTAACACCAACCATTTGCATAATTTTTTAGCTTTTTGTTTGGTTTTGATGTTTGTTTTGTGTTTGTTATTTCTTTTGGTGCCACATACATCTGTTTGTTTACCTGTATAAATAGTACACCCAATTAATGAATAAGTTTCAGTTGTTGTTTTAGAGAATAAACAAGTATAAATAAATGGAATTTTATTATATATTAAGGGTGCTATTATATATACCCCTCACTCACATAAAAAATAAACATAGGGGGTACACAGTCACTCACTCACACATGGGGGGACAATAAACTGTTGGATTAGATGTCTAAGCCCATAACTATAACTGGTATGTACTTGACCTGAGAGTAGCATGGTCCATTTCGGGTTGCCTTCACCAGAACAATTTGATAGGATGGATTATGAGAAAGAGGTTATTTGTGATTTATGTATATATTATAAGTATAAATATATTAATTGAGAAATCATATTATTTAATTAGTATTGATCAAGAATTAGTTTGGAATTAATTTAGTGATCAAAAGAGACTAATTAA